GGGGCCTCAGCAGGGTATTATGCCATACGGTCCGCCTTCCAAAGCAGGCGTTTTCTCCAGGGGAACTGATCTTGGTTGTCTGAAGATCAATTGTAATAGCAGCAAGGATGTCTCCAGGTACCACTTGGAGGTTGGCAACCCAAGGAGGGCAGACTGGGCTGCAAACCCATAACATGAGGGCAGTCTGTCCTTTGCCATTGAGTAAAAAAACAAGTTTCTTTTGTTACACATTGGATTAGGTGTTTGTGGAGTTCTGAACCGACAGTCTTGTATGAGGACCGCAGAAATAACACTTTGGCCTTGTCTAGTCCTTTGCCGTCCCCGTCTTCTTTGACCTTCAATCTTTCCCAGCATCAGGGTCTTTTCCAGTGAGTGCTCCCTTCTCATTTGGTGGCCAAAGTATTTGAGCTTCAGTTTCATTATCTGGCCTTCCAGGGAACAGTCAGGGTTGATTTCTTTGAGGATTGACTGATTTGTTCTTCTTGCAGTCCAAGGGACTCTCAAGAGTCTCCTCCAGCACCATAGTTCAAAAGAATCTATTCTTCGGCGCTCGGCCTTCCTTATAGTCCAGCTCTCACAGCCATACATGACTACTGGGAATACCATTGCTTTGACCATGCGGACTTTTGTTGGCAGGGTGATGTCTCTACTTTTTATCATGCTGTTTAGATTAATGAACATGAAGTTGAGCCAACTTCAGAGGGAGGCGGAAGACCGGAGGGCCTGGCGAGAGCTCGTCCATGGGGTCGCGAAGAGTCGGACTCGACTGTGCGACTGAACAACAACAACAACAAGTGTTATTTTGGCTAAAATTCCTGGAAGTTACAGAAACTGTATTGTGGCATAAGTTTGCATTGAATAGAACCCATTTTGTTAGGCTGGAAGCACAAGCTACGTAATGAATATATTCTCTTGATATATACATATATGCAGGGGGAAAAGTTTTGTTCCAAACCAAATAAGGATGCATATCTGCACACACACAATTTGGAGTATATTCCATTAATTTTACAGCCCAACCTTATGTAAAACTGGGTGAATTTAAACCCATTGACTTCTGTGAATTTAAGCATGCTCAATTCTGCATGGGATTGTGTTGTCAGTGGGATTACCTTCTGAGTAAATGTGAATAGGAAGGGGTCACATCTCTTTTTATTTCTCTCTGTAAAGTAGATCAAGTTGGGTAGCTGTGTTAATCTGTCTGAAATAGTAGAAAAGAGCAAAAGTTCAGGAGCACCTTAAAGACTAACCAAGTTTGTGGCAGGATATGAGCTTTTGAAACTCAACATCAAAAAAAAAATCCTCCCCAGCAGGCCAAACGGGAGACAAAGCTCTGGAAAGAGCAAGGAGGGGTGAGCTATTTTAAGCCGTGCTTAATGAGATATCCAGGGTCTATTGCGGGTCAGGAGTGGGGCGGGGGGGGGCAGAGAGGGTGAGATTGACAAGGTGCATGTGCAAAACGACTCTGGCCTCTTACCAAAAGTGGAATCAAAATGTCTGGTGATAGTCAGCTCATCAACAGCTGACCCAGAAGGCTAGAGAGTGCATGTCTTGCCGGACAAAAGCCTCCCGTGCTTGAGCAGCAAGGAGGAAGGGGAGGCGAGACCTTTAGTGGGGGCTTGAGAAGGCGGACGCCACTTGCAGAAATGGAGGCCGAAGCCACTGTCCCTTAAGCACGGGAGGACTGCCCCAAAGAGAAGACTTTTGTCATCCATGCTGAAGTCATGGGAACTGAAGAGGAAGAAGTCATCGTCACTCTTTCTGGAGGAGCTCCTTGGGGCTTCCGGCTGCAAGGGGGCTCAGAACAGAAGAGACCCCTCCAGGTGTCAAAGGTAGGAGAGGCAGCTGTTTTGCTTAGGGCTACAATCCTTTTTGCACCCAAGAATCCACTTCGGAGCAGGGGTAGGCATCGCCTGTGGGCTTTGTCTGGGATCCTGCACCAGTCTCTGCAGCCAGTGTTTGCATTAGCATGTTGACAATCCTTTTTATTTTTCAGGTAAGGGAAGTTCCTAGTTCTTATGATGGGAAATGGGTAGAAAGCCCAGCTAGCGTGTGGTTACAGTCTGCATGAGAATACTTTTCAAAAGAGCTGCTGGCTATTGTTTGCCCCATCCTGGTTGCTGGAAATATTTGCAGGTTCCTGACAGTCTTTTGTCCTGTGGCAATGGCCCGAGATGGGACACCTCCTCACTCTGGGGCAAGACCGTTCAGACACTCCCTTGTAGCTTTGGCAAAGGCGTCGCTCAGACCAGGGCTTTTCTTCTGGAAAAAGAGGTGCTGGAACTCTCAAGAGGGAAATGAAGTCTCTCCGTCTGTATACGGAAAACTCATGAACTTTTAAACATTTTAAAAAGGATTTTGTCTAAGAGGTTCTGAGACTCTGTTCTGGCGCGTTCCCCCAGGGGGGAAAAGTCCTGGCTCAGGGTGTTTAAAGAGAGCGCTGTTTGCATATTGTTTACGGACGAGCAGCTGGCACTGGATGGCTTAGGGATGCCCATGAGGAAAAGAGCTTTCTAAATGTGTGCAAATGACCAGTCTGTGCAGCAGGATGCCATTGGCCTATACCCACAGGCTCCAATCCTGCTAAAGTTAGTCACGGCTCATTTCCCACTGAAATCAATGGGACTCTTTATCACGTCTCTGTGCTCTCTGTGACATTTACACTGCAGCTCTACACAAAACTGCACTTAGGATTGCACTAAGGTTCACAGGTTAGGGTTGCCAACTCCCTGGAGAAAAATGTCCTGTCACAGATCAGTGTTCAAGAACTATCAAGTGATGTAATTCAGTTCTGTGCTGTTAATGAAACAGGACATTTTTCTCCAGGCCTGTTGGCATGAAGCCATCCTCTCTACCTTGGCCTCTCCCAACCAGCAGCAAAGATGTAACAGCTGATGAATCAGGAAATGGCGAATGCCCACCAATGGCATTTCTTCCTTGTGCCCAGTATCACAACAGTTGATGGATTCAGTCAGCAGGCAGGAGAAGTTTCTCAGTCAAACTTTATGGCAGGTGCTGGCATTGCCTTCACAGCCATTGCTGTAAACTGGTAAAAAATAAGTTACAGCAGTCTGCTTTGTCTCTTGTATGTCTCAGGAGTGCACCATCACCAACTATTGGTTGCCATCTATGGGTTGGGAAATTCCTGGAGATTTGTGGGGTAGAGCCTGGGAAGGGTGGGGTTTGGGGAGGGGAAAGACCTTAGTGTGGTATAATGCCATGGAGTCCATCTTTCAAAACAGCCCTTTTTTCTAGGGGAACCGATCTCTGGAGACCAGCAGTAATTCGGGAGATCTCCAGCCACATCCTGGAGACTGGCAACCATAGTCGCAGTCAATGTTCCCTCTAAGCTGTGGAGTCCTGCGAGCAAAAATTCTACTTGGTGAGCTACTGGCATTAAAGTTGTGAGCAAGCCATTTGGCTACTGCAGACATTAGTTTGCTCTGGAGCCATCCTTCCTGAGCTGAGACAAAAATGTGTGAGCCGGAGGCTAAAAAA